CCACGAAACAAGGGGGCGCGCAGATGGCCGGGGTGAGGGCAAAGAGGAAACGGCACAAGGCAGACAGGCAGGTGTTACAAGGAAGATGGGCGGCGTCATGGAGAAGGGGTTGGTGGGGCATATTCCGGTGGCAGGCTATAAAAGCCACAGCCTATTCTGCTGTGCCCCGGTAGAATATTCCCGAAAATTAGGCTCAAAATTCACTGCCGCCAACGCCTCCCCCGACAATTCCATCTCCATTTCTGAATAAAAAAATGGCTACCACATGACGCTGAGCCTCAAAGCGATGGAAACCACATTCCCTGACAAGACAAGATCTCATTGGGAAGAGCTCTGTCGAGCTATCCCTCGTCAATGAGTGGATTCATAGCCGTACCACGGCGCGGTGACTCGGGTCACCACGAACAATGCTCCGAACTTGAGCGAGGAGCCCGCGGCATCATCGGGACCCCAGTGTCCCCGATCCCCCCCCCCCTCCACACCGAAAATGAACGTCTACCGCAGTGATCCACACTCAAGCGAGCTCTCCACATGGCTACATTCACACCTTGAGCGAGGAGCCCGTGGCATCATCGGGGCCGTCGTCCGGCGGAGTGAGCAGCGTCATGGAAAGCTTCTGGGACAAAACGAGGATGGCGGGGATGCTCATGTAGCAAAGGGTGTCGTGCCACCCCAGGATAGGGTGACCGTCCACGAAGGTGGTGAGCCAACCGATGCCGCGTCCATTCTCGAACGTCGGGCCCTGTAATCGGATTGTTAGGGGGGGGGGGGCGGGGGGCATACAGTAGTACTCGTGGAGTTTGTTTTACTTACACACACAACGAGTAGTTCACCTCTTCCACAGATAAGAAGCCGTGATACTTAGCCATCAGAGTATTGACAACGCGTCCTCGAGAGAGGATGGAGCCAGGGGGTGAGTGATGAACAAGTATGCACGGCACTTTTTCGCCTCCTTGTCTGGTCAGCTGAAACGGGGAAAAAACAAGACCAACCTATGCTACACGTCGACCGAGTAAACATGCGCATCGGAGCGGCAGAGTACCTCGTCCGAACACCTTTACTGAGCAAAGAGAAATGAGGCCTTGCCAAGGGGCGTCGGAGCTGGTGATGGCGTGCAACACATAAAACCCGCATTGTACGCTTGAACAATAATAAAAAAACATGGACTAAATGTTATTACAGCAACACGACCAAAAGAATGGGGGGCAACATCATTTTGTTTTTCATCGCAACAAAAAACAAGGGGGTGAGATCACATACACCCCAACTCCGCCAGAACAAATTCCTCTCTTTTTTCCACCCCTCAAAATCAGCGCTCGCAGCAGTTCTGCCGGATGGGAGCTCCGATCTGTGGTCACAATTAAGGTTTTCTTCCTCCCCCTGAGGCCCCCTATGTACCCACCCCCTTCTGCGGTGCTTTGCCTTCGATTGTTAACGCGAGAAGATTGCAGCACTCTCTCCTCTCATTGTGCAGCAGTAGCACCAGAGAAACGAAAAGGAGCTCTCCAAAAAGTCGTTATTGCTGCCCAAAAGAAACCATGCCCTGCTAAACCAGAGGGGGCAGGTGGATGCGCCGCTGTTGGCCAACAAGCCAGGCAAACACAAACGCGAGAGAGGACGCTTCATTTCCCATTCCCACCTGTAGGCTGGGCAGCCACAGGAACCCTTCGCTGGCGACAGCATCGGTGCCGAAGCCGATGATGGCACGGTACAGCCCGATGAACACCGGGAACTAGGTGAGGGAGAAGAGGGGCACCGCAGACGCAACAACGGACGTCACGCACAACAAAGGGGCGACGCAATTTGCATAAGAAAAAAGACCGAGGGAGGCGATAATGAAGGAGTAGTACAGGTTGATGAACACTGGGAACTGGAGGGAGAGGGGCACCGCAGACGCAACAACGGACGTCATACACGACACCGGGCGACGCAGTATGCATACAAAAAAAAGGCCGACGGACGGGACATGGGGACATGAGGCATTCCTTGAGCACGAATCGGGGGGCAACGTAGACTAAAAGCGGACGAGGGAGGAGCGGGTCAAAGCATGAGTACCAACTCGACCAGCGAATCACGAGCGTGAGGGCAACGGGTTTCGCTCGAGTGTGGCATAGAGCCCGGCAGAACTGAAAAGAGAAATTCAGAGACACAACCAAGGTGCAGCTGCTACCCATTCACGCCACTTTGCACTGGATGTCATACACTACACTTCGCTCTGATGATCATGATGATACTTGGAGGAGCACCAAGGGCAGGTGCCTATGGATGCAATTTGTCTCTGAATATCATGTTGATTCTGGAAGTGCACCAAGGACACAGACGCCTGCTGGGGGTGAAAGTTGAGTTGGTCTCTTCGAGAGACAGCGCGTTCACAAGGCGCCCTGCCCGAGCTAAACGCTTCTAGGCTCCAGATCCTCTTAAAAAACGGCCCCACAACATCGGCAACCGTTACCCAATCATACGTCAGCGTCCGGTTTACAACACACACGACGCCGTGAACAAAGTGGGGGTTGAACATCCGCCCCTGAAGCAATCCTGACAAGGAAGGCACCCACCCGAACGAGCCGCCAGGCCTTAGTCTCGCCGTACAGCCTGAATCGGTTATTCTCCTTTAAAACTAAAAATACACACACACAAACGAGATGATAGGTGTACTCAGACCCCAATTTATGGGAACAAAATCTTGTCAATAAATCTTGATGTTAGCCAAGATCTGCCAGTTTCACGATTTATGGAAGCGAAATCTTACGATGTATCTTGGTCAAGATTTCTCGAAGCCCGAAATCTGCCCTTTCGAACAAATCTTGACCCAAGATCTGTCGAATCGAGCCTTCCGACAAATCTTGAGGCGGCATAACAAATCTTGCCTGGGTGCGGCGTAATCGTCCATCGCAATGAAATCTGCACGTGGCACACTCGCAAGGGTCTCTCACACACCCTGGTGTCACTGTGTCGGCGCCACGGGCGCCGACAGCGAAACGACCAAGGCGGGCGAAAGAAATGCGTATTTGTCCTGGCTCGTTCCACGTGCGTCATCACCAGTCTGTCGAGGGACCGTTTTAAGAGTACTTTATTTTGAAGTAGAAAAATAGAGGAGGAGGAACGTTTTGCCGAAAAGGAGGAGGAGGGACGCTTCTATCTCTTCATCGAATCACCCCACACCCAATCCATTTGCACCCGAGCCAGATCCGTGAGTGCAGATGACAGCGCCGGAGGTTTGACCTCGGTACGCCTGCTACATAGTGAGATACGTGCACGGGTGTTATCGGCTTCGGGTTGATGCACTTTCTTGTCAGTTGGACAGCAATGGAAATTTTTTGTTTCTCCGCTTGACATGAGCTCGTGGGCAACGGCTTCTATTTTGCACCCCAGGTAGGCGCCCATCGCTAGTATCCACCCAAAGTGTTGAGGCAATGCAGCTGGGGGAGGGACGCCCCTTCTACAACTGCGTCATGCTCACTTTTCGCCACACCGTGGCATTTTCTGTGGACCAAGTGGCCGTTGTGCCTTTATAAACCTCAAGCAGAGGAGAGGAACAACACGCCGCTTTTTCAACATTCAACATATTTCCCCCATAAATCGCGATACTGCAAATCTTGGCGGAGATATATTGTGAGCAGATCTTGGGTCAAAATGCCAAGATATATTTGCAAGATTCGGTTTCCATAAAGAAGGGTCTCATCTCAGTACTAGATGCGGATCTACGTAGCCCTAGGGGGTTTCGTGCATAATATTGGCATGTGTTACTGGAAGGGCGGACCCCTATCTGGTGTGCAGGGCTTCTTGTCCTGCCATGTCACTCGGTAATAACAAGGTCTTGAGTCCACCGTTTCTCAACAGCCTCTGATGTTAAGCACCGCTACCCAATACTAATACTTCGATATATCGAGTGAGGATCCTTCGGGGTGTCGGTGTGTTGGTGTGGAGCTACGCGTAAGCCGATTCGTCAACTCGGGAACTTCGGGCTACACCGTATTTCTGTCTGTGTTCGTCACGTCTTCCGGCTCACGGCTACAAGTACTGTAGTTGTGCGTGTGTGTGTTTCGTGTTATGTGGAGATGGAGATGAGAAGAATCTGATGAGATGGCTGAACTTAGAGCCAGACTAGCCCAGCCCGCCAAGGAGCTGGAGAAAGCGCAGACACTGGGTGATTTGGATCGAGAACGCTCGTCGACCTCAACACGCGGTGTTGCAAAGCCCCTCGCCGAACAAACTCCCCGCGCTAGTCAGGCAGACATCGTGAAGAATCTGCTGGATGCAGAACCGGGCGAGGGTGATTGTACGGCCGGCGGTCTCGCTGTGCATGGCGGGCGAGTTCTTCGACCGATTTTGCCAGGTGAGCCTTTCCCGTAAGTGGGAAACTTCGGGGGAGGCTCTCTCCTGCCCAGCATAAAATACGAATCGGAAAAACGCATCCACCCTGGGCTCCACTCCCCCCCTGAGACTACGTCATACTTCCACCAGACCTACCACCAAACCCGGCATTAGAGGGCCGACTGCCTCCGTCATTCGTGGCTCCTCCTTCGACCGTAGGTCCTTCGAGATGCGGGCTGCATCTAGCTGAGCCTGAGCCTTCTGCTGTAGAATCAGTTCCTCCGCCTTTTTAGCTCGGTTCCGCTCTCTCGCTCTAATCCTTCTCTCTCTCGTCAGTTATCTATTTACAGTCTGACGCTCCACGCATCCTTGTCAACAGTGACAAACGGTGCTCTCCAGCTGGCGCAACACCGTCAACGGACCGTAAGTGACCATACTCGTGCTTTGGGGGTCCTGCTTGACTCTAATACGACTGGTACGTCGCTGGAGTCTCGAGTTCACTACTGTGCTTCTGTGTGGGACGCTTGGGAGAAAACCAGGAATCGGATTCTGCCTAGAGAGACGACGAGCTGTACCTCGTAGAGCAGGAGCTTGAGATACAGGAGATGCGTTCAGAAGAGAACCCCCGCGAGACTTTCTCGAGATGCACTGGTGACACTTTGTCTTCAAATTGACAGTTTATTCTTTGTTCTCGGCATTCGCAACTATCGCGTTTTGCCTGCGGAGCTGACGTTTTGCCGATTATATGATTGAAATTCCTGGGAAGTCACAGCAGAGCGGCTGATGGATATATTTTGCTGCATTGATTACGCCAGAGCCGTGACTAATGTTGAAGATTTCATCAGTAGAGACTGGTTTTGCACTTTATTTTCATTCTGGAGGAAGGATTGGACATGTACTGATGAGTAAATGGTTGGAGCCTGTGTACTTTCCAGATGCATACTTGTCAACAAGTTGAAATCTGGTTGTTGTTCGAAACTTTGATTCAAGTGGCAGAACATTTATGCAGGAATGTTGCTTTCATGAAGATATTTGCTGAGGATTATTCTTGTGTTTTGGCATCTAAGGAAGTGTTGAGAAGCGATCTGGATGGTTAGGCAGTTAAACCTTGTATAGCATGGATTTTCGGCGGAGAATCAAGAGGTGAGGATCTGATGATGATGATGTGGTTTTTCGTCGATAATTTTAAGTTTGGTTGAGACGTTTTTTTGGATGGAAGGCGTTGCAGTTTCGGAGAGAGTTCCATCTTGAGGGGATAGATTACGTATTTATACTATGGATAAAGGGGGGTTGACATTTGAAGATTCAACGGATGTCGGACGAGAGAGTTCTATCGGGAAATCAATTATGTCGGAGGACAACGTTATCTTGGGAGATTTGTTTCGATTTGGGACGATGGAGTATCTAGATTCGAGAGTTGAGGTTGGTACCGCCGAGTTGCGCCGCAAGAGGAACAGATGAGTAGATCGTACCTAGAACCAAGTAGGGGGGCTGGTAGGTGTACTCAGCACTAAATAGATGCGGATCTACGTCGATTGGTACGTGTTACTGGAAGGGCGGACCCCCTTCTAGTGTGCAGGGCTTGCTTGCCCTGCTGTCTCACTCGTTAATTTCAAGGTCTTGAGCCAACCTTTCACAACAGCCTTTAACGCTAAGTAACAAGAGATCTATCTCGGACTCTTTGGGAGTGGACGACATAAATTCTAGTGTTTTCGTACATAAAAAACGTAAAATAAAAACACGCATCGAAGAGCAAAGACCCAAACACCGCCCCCCAACCCACGCCGTGTCCCTGAAACCCAAGCACGGCTAAACAACAGATCATGGCCGAATAATCGAGAAGCAGGCGGGCCGCGAATTTTTACGCCCTCTCTGTGGCCGTACCTGAAGCAGGGCGGGGAGGCATCCGATTAGCGGGTTGACCTTGGTCTCCGCGTACAGCCTGTTAGTGGCAGCGGTGGCGGCCTCCTTGTTCTGGCCGAACTTGGCATTGATCTCCTTTACCGTCGGTTGGAGCACCTTCATCTTCTCGCTCGACTGTAGCTGGATCGCCTGGAGGGGCACGAGGAGGGTCTTGACTCCGAGGGTGAACGTCACGATCGCGAGGCCGAACGACTGCTCGATGCCGATACCTGCATTTGGTGTGTGGGGAAGCAGGAGGTGTTGTGACCAAGGGGAAACCGGTGCCCACTCGTGACTATGACGGTTGGTTTTTGAAACTGAAATGCAGCAGGAAGAGGGCCGTTTCGAGACCCCTCCCCGCACACATACGTCAGTTGTATGCGTAATACTGGAAATAATACATGTAGCGCGATATCGTAACAAGGAACGCACACTACTTTCACCCCTCGCCACTGTTAACAGACGTATTCATATCCCGATGCTGGGCCCAGCCCCCTGGTGTACAATACCACGCCTCCCAACGACTTCGAACGCAGAACGTATGGCACCGAAGAATAAGAGCACACGTCATGTACTGCATACCCCAACCCGCCCTTCTCTGCGCAGCTCTTTGCCCCTCTCCGTCACCCCCTGCAGCTCCAGGTAGAGCAGCACCAGACGATCGTGCTACTTTTTAACTCAGGGATGGGCAAGCTACTGTATGCCTTCGCGGATACGTCTTGTCGAAGCACTCCTCCTGTGGGCATTTAACATCCAACCAACAAGTCCAACGCCCAAGCAAGAGATGGTCGTACCACCAATTCTCCCTCTCTCTCTCTCTCCCCATCCGGCCTCTGATCATGAGGTACATAGTCGTACAACGATGTTTTGGGCGCCCACAGAGACGAAGCAACCCTTCCAAACCCTCCAAGAAAACGATGCACTCTTGGAGAATCACTTCATAACCAAGCGGATCCTTCTTTAACCTTCTTAAAACCAGATTTCTTCTTGGAGGAAAACTCGATAATCCCCTCGGACGCAACATTCCCTCGGACATTAGGTCGGGGCCTGGAACTGGATAGTCAGCATCAACCGCAACGCGTCAGATAGACGGCTATCGTAGGTTCACTGCTGCTGGTCTCTCGCTCACCCTTGTAGAACTCGTTGATTCCCAGCACGCTGCTTCGGATGAACTCGATCCACATGTTGAAAGGGTTGGGGCCCTTGGCCTCTTCCTCCACCGCTTCCAGGGGAACCGCAGCCGCATCCGACAGGCCTGCACGTTTCAAGAAGAACAAAAACACCATACACACAGAGATTTACCGTTTCTGTCTTTAATCCGGAGCCTCCCCCATGACCCCCCCTAACGGGTTTTCATTGGTCAGCCGATTAGCGCGGTCGATGCAAAAAAAAAAAACACTTGGTATCATACACGGAGCAACAAGAAGCCGTTGTTGATGGGGGCGGTGGTCGTGTCCGCGTAGCCCGACTGAAAAACAGCAGTGTTGCACGGAGTGCAGGGTTGTTTTGGTTTTTGTTGCGGGACATTTACTTTTCTTTTTCTCGGCAGCTGACCCCTGGACAGCAGTACCGCTTCGAAAACTGCATGTGTTGTCACAACTCTCCTTCGACGCCACACGAAAGACAAAAGGTGTTATTGCGAGCATGATGTTACAATATCGCGGAAAGCATGCTCGAGAGAGTAACACTGATTTGCCAATCTGCCGTTTCTTTCGATGAGGTACAGCAGTACAGCAGTACTGCTGCCCTGCTATAATGGGATTCACACTACGAAGACGACATGCGGGGCAAAACATACAGAATACTTCAACAAAGACGGAGCCGCGACTCTTTGTTCCTTGACTCTCGCTCAGGACACGAGGACCACCCCCGCAACTAACAACAACGCAGCAGGGCACCACCTACTGCTGCGCGTCAAATATTTGTACATGAAACTCTGCAGAACTCCCGTGAACTGGCAAGTTGTTCGACTTGATATGTACGTACATCCGCATATGGTTTTTAGAACGGAGGGGCGAGCGTAAAACAGGAGCATGACATGCGATTCATATCGAAACCCCTGAGTGCAGTTGGCCTCGGGTTCAGCAAGCAGCACTGGGGAGCGTATCTGCTGCCGTCTGACTTGCTAGCGGTGGGTCTGGCCACGGACCGTAACACTGTAACTGCTGCTGCGTGCTGTGTGCATGTGTGCATGTTGACGTTGGGACCCAAACGGCAGCTTTGTAGCCGTGTTGAGTCTGCAACATCAATCGGCCGTATGCAAACGACCGCTCTTAGGCCGAAAGAAGTCGCACGGCAAGTCGCTCGAGCCTGACAACAACACATGGCAAGCCTCTTCTTTACCAACACTGACTTGATGTCGAACCTTACATGCTCCTTCATGATGATGCTGTCGCAGTATCGCGCAGCAAGGACCAAAGAGGTCGTGCTGCTTGCACTTGTACTTGTAGGAAAGCAAAACGGTACCCTCGACAAGTTCACACCAACCTCCCGTAACCCGTTGCCAGCGCGAGCGTAGCATGGCACTCACAAGCGAATGCCGTCAGCTCTCTGGCCCACTTACCGTGCATGACGTGCGACAACCACGTGTGGTCAAGTCCCGCCGACCCGACCGCGTTCACGTGTTCCCCAATCGAGTGAACGGTGGCGGGGTCAATCGCCATCATCCGCACTCCTGCCGTAGACGACGCTGCTCGCCTATCCCTCCCGCCAGCTGTTCTAGCCAGGCCAACCCCACCTGTGAAGGCTGCTGTCGGTGCGATGGCAGCGCATCCCAGCAGCGCAGCTGTGGCCGTAGTTGCCCTCATGATGATATATGAGCGGACGCCGTCTCAGGTACTGCTCTACTGCTGCCCTCTGGTCAGCCCCCTTCTGCTTCCTGCTCGTAGTGGTCAGCCGAGTGCCTAACTATGCTCCCTCCAGGGAGTGTAATGTGTTGGGGAGATAGCACGCGATGGGGTGGTCGCGAGTGTGTCAATTTGCGTGTGTGCGCACAGAAGATGGGAGCAGTGCAGCATGGAGTCGTCGGGCGCCCAGGCACGGGGCTGCTACACACTTGTCCCCGGGGTTTCAGTCTGCATGCACACCCCCTCAGGCCCACGACCGCGTCTGCCCATCTGTGAGTCCCCCCTCTTCTCGATGTTGCTCGATGCATCTCATGCGCGCGTGTGTCGTGGAGGATACAGGAAAACACGCACGTGTCGGAACGTTGCTGGCTGTATCCCCCGAGGGCACATAGACCAATATCTACTGCCCGACCGGTGTCTTGGAGAAGTGGATTTTTCATGTTTCATTCCGGAATATAGTCTACTACAGCAGAGTTTGCGGCATGAACTTCCACAGATCACTTACCCCACTAAAAACAGCGGATTTTTTTTTTTTTTTCTTACTATGACACAACGAAACCATCTCTATCATAGAAAAGAGTCTGAGATAGATTAGCAATGGATTCATAGCGTCAGAAAGTACCTGTATGTATTATTGCAATGATTCTCTTTCGTGAACCCTTATTGGGGGTACCATGACGAGCACCATTCAACTGACCGACGAACAAGTTATGCAAAACTTACTCCGTACGCGACAAGCCCGGCACTCTCATACTTCGTAAATGTGTAAAAGAGGCGTTCTTCTAGTGTAAAAACGTCGCCCGCCCTGGTCGTCGCCACGCCGGGCTTGGAGATTGCAATGTGGTGGGCCTTGAATCCGCACACCGCGTATACCCCAACGAGCCGCCTTCATCGCCAACAAGAGTTCCTCAGGAAGGAGTATAATCCATTTCTTATTTTTTAACAACGAAAACGGCAATGAGTACACATGCCTCTCTGCAACTGTTGCATGTATGCGTCGAGCTCGGCACAAAAACCATCAACCCGAATGCATACAAAAAATACATGCCGTGTAGTCCATGTCGCAGAATAGCCCCCCCTATCGTTCTCCTTTCGTGGAAAACGCTCGGCTACACAAGAGGAGGT